ATTGAAAGGAAAATTGGAGGAAGTTTCCTTCCAGCCCACAATTTATGTTCCCCCTAAAAATGGGCGGAAAATGAGAAGAAGATAAAAGAATTTGACTTTTGAATGTTTATTTGCATTTTTGCCCTTTATTACATTCTATAAAACCCACTTCTCAAAACAGCAAACAAAACCCACTTCTCACAGACCATGGGCAACGACACACCCTTCTCAAACAACAGCAACGAGACAACGAACTCGATCGGCAAAACCAACGGTCTTCAGACCTCATTTTCGGCTACTTCAGACCGCATTTTCGGCTACTTTAGACCAAAGTTGCCATCCTTTGGTAAAGTTTGGCTATTCTCCTGCATATTTTTTGGTTATCTCTCTCTCTCTCTCTCTCTCTATATATATATATATATATATATATATATATGGGGTAACCTATCTTTACCCAGTCTTAGCAAGAGATTGTAAGATTCTTTGTTTGGTGTATTTATCAAATGTTAAATTAAACTATAATATTGCATATTTTGGGTAATCGGTTTGGATTTGAGTCCGACATTATTGGTACCTTACTGGAAGTTTCAAGTAATTATATGCTTTGTTGATATTGTGATGAGTTGATTTGTGAAGTTCATGGCTATTACCTTCCTGGAGGTTTCAAGGAAATCTTTTTGTTTCCATTGGCTTACTATTATCTATGGTTTTGTTGAGAAGACTTACTGGATTTTTGCAAAGAAAATTGCAATTGGTCTGCGTTCTTGCCTAGTTCATCCATACTAACTTTTCTAAAGTAATTGGTTGTGGGTATTCTTAGATTACCTGGTACTTTTACATTGCTATGGTACATTGTCTTGGTGACTGGTTTCTTTGGGCTTTTTGAGGTCCCAGACCTGGAGAAAGAAAAGGACAATTGATATACAAGGCCTTGCCCAATTGAGAACTAAAACATGTTGGACAATTGTCGAAATGAGATAATTAAAAATCAATTTCTGGACTACCAAATTGCCTACAAAAAATTCTTAGAGTTTGTCTCTTCTGTCATCAAAATTTTCTTCCTAATTCTTTCATTTCAATCGACAAAAACTATACTCACAACCACAAATAATAATGATGTGCATCCCAAAACTATTTTCAAATTTTGTATCTCAATTCGATGTAGATGGTTGAATCAGTTAAATTCATACACTCTCTAGTACAAGTCTTGTAACCAATTTTTTCTACAATTTTAAACCTTACAATAGAATTGTGAGATTTTATGAATTCTTGCTGACTAATTGCTGTTTTGTTACCATGCATTTAGTATATGGATAGGGAAGAGAGTTGGGAAGAAAACTTGGAAGAAAATGGAGAAGATATTTGGGAGGATAATCTTATGCAAATTTTAAATATTTGGGAACATGGGCGATGCATGGCTGCGGTTCAAGTTGTTTGCTATTTGGTTCATATACTCTACTTGATTGGAATGTCATGCCACAACTCGTACGTGGATCGATCAATTACCCAAAATAATGGAGAAAGAGAGAGCGTAAGACAAGAACTCATGACACAACTAACTCGTAATGAACATTGTCGTGACATTACTCGCATGAGCCAACATGATTTTGCTAATTTGTGTGAGTTACTTAAAGGCACAGGTCGTCTCCATGATAATAAGAATGTTCTTTTTGAGGAACAAGTGATTAAGTTTCTTTATTTACTTGCACATAAGGTGACAAATCGGGAAATGCAACTATTTTTTTGTCGATCGAGTGAGACAGTAAGTCGCCACTTCCATGATGTGTTAAGAGCTATCATTACTTTGGAAGATCAATTTCTAAAACAACCTACCGGTTCAGAGGTTCCTCTCCAAATTATAAATAATAACAGATTTTTCCGTATTATAAGGTGAATATAATCTTTTCCCCTTTTCCTTATAAGAAATCGATCTTAATACATTAGATTCTAAAAAAATATTTATACATTTCAGGATTGTGTTGGTGCAATTGATGGGACACACATACATGTGAAAGTATCTGAACTTGATGCACCGAGATATCAAGGAAGAAAAAATTATCCAACTCAAAATGTATCGACGGTTCTTTCGATATGATTTTTACATATATTTTGCCAGGATGGGAGGAACTGCGTCTGACTCAAGAATATTAAAAAGTACTTTAACCATGAAGACAAACTCATAATTCCTCGAGGTAATTTAAGTTTATAACCATATAAGATTTGAAAATTTAATCATATTTATTAAAACTCTTACTAAATATCTTTCTAGATTTTAGAAAAAATTTATCAAGTGAATGGAGGTTACATGTTAAGAAGTGGTCTTATTGGTCCATATAGAGGTGTGCGTTATCACTTGAAAGAATTCTCCTCACGTACTCTAGAAAATCTTCAAGAATTATTTAATCATCGGCATTCTTCCCTACGTAATGTAATTGAGAGAGCATTTGGAGTGCTAAAAAAATACTTTCTCATTATTGGGAATGGTTCAGAAGCTTATTACCCAGTTAATACAGTTACTGAAATTGTTCTAGCCTGTTGTATCCTACAAACTATCTTATGGGAGTTGATCCCGATGAAAGGTTGATTGCGGAGGTTGATAACGAGCTCATGAATGGTGAAGTGTACATTGAAGATGTGATTAGGACAACTAATGACGATGCCGATGCTAGTCGAGGAGCACTTATTAGGGACTCTATAGCTTCTAGCATGTGGCAGGACTGCATTTCTCATAGGCCGTGATCCATTTATTTTAATCGTCCTTTAGTCTTAATTTGAAGTTAGTGATGATGTTATCATATGACCACTTATTATGTTCTTGAAATTTTTATTATGTTTTGGGAAATTTTTGTTGCAAAAATTATATTATCTATTTTCTTCTTTTGTTGATAGTATTTGGAGTTTTAAATTGTACAATCGTAAAAAAATTTTTGATGAGAAATTAGTTTTATTAAACATATCTCGTTGTATTATGCAGTGTCTCATGGGAAAGAAATCAAAGAAAAATGACGATGTTGATGAGATAAAAAAGGATAGTGTGATATGGAATGAATATTGAGATGAAGTATTAATTGACGCCTTGTTAGAAGAACAATTGAAAGGAAATAGACCCAATGGAACATGGTCAACCACTGCCTTCTGAAAATGCTTAATGAAAAGCTTAAATTTCCATTTGTGAAGGACCATGTGAAAAATTGCATAAAATCTCTCAAGAGTAATTTTTTGCATGTCATGAAATTTTCAATGGCTTAACAATGAGTGGGTTTGCATGGAATCCGGAGACACAACTATGGGAAGCGGAGAATGAAGTGTGGAAAGGGCTTATACTGGTATATTATTAACCATTTAGTAATTTTAATATGGTTGCAGAAATATAAATTTTCTATGTTTTTTATTGTTTTTTCTCACATATGCATTTGTTATTGTTTTTCTCATATATGTATTTGATTTTTGTTATAGGCTAAACCAAGTGCCGCAAAATGGAGGCATAATAAAATTTGTCACTATGACAAGCTAAATGATCTCTTTGCAAAGGACAGGTCTACAAGGGAAGGAAACGTGGGTGCAAAAGAAAAAATTCGTCAATGGGAAAGAGAGGGAAGTGCTAATTTAATTGATCTTAATGATAGCGTTGATGAATTTAGTTTGAACTTTGAACCAACTTCTCCTTCTACACCTTTTCAAGTAAGCTCTCAAAATTTTACCACAACCAAAAGTTCCAAACGAAAGGCAAGTATGTTAGATGTGAAGGATAGACATATTGAACTCATAAATAGTGGAATTAATAATGTGGCACAGGCAATCAAGGAAGGAGATGTTATTGCGGAAAAGGGAATAGTTATTGCAGAGAGAGCTAGACCACGTTGTTATCCCGAGAAGAATGTATTTGCTGAACTGGTAGAAATTGGAGTTGCAGACTCGCTTCAGCTTGATGCATTCTTATTCTTGATTAAGAACGCGGGAAACATGAGAGCATTTTTTGTTGTCCCATCAAACTGTCGTTTGGAGCTTTTGAGCAAATTGATGAGTGAATCAACTGGCTCTTGAACAACTAAGTGATCTAGATAGCTTTTGAGATGTGTATCTACTTACTATATGTATGCATTTTGGATCGTACATGTTGATAATCAGACTTTTTTGTGCTCATATTAGCATAAGCATGAACCTTATAATGTAGTTGGTGACTTTTTGTAAGAAGATTTTATGTAGCCACGTAAAAAGAAATATGTAAAGTGCGTACAGTGCCAAAATTTCCCATTTTGGCACTTTGTATTGTATAATTGCGTGGACAGTGTAGTCTTTCAAATTTTTTGTTTGCCTATTTGGTTTACAGCATCAGTACAAAAATGCAGGTGCCAAGTAGAGGAGCAATGATTTATGCATTTTTTAAAATGGAATAAGTAGGCATGTTTTGGCCTTTGTATGTGAGATTATGGCTGCACAATCTTTCTAATATGAAAGCTGAATGCATGGCTTTGTTGGATGGTCTTAATTTGATTATGCAGTATGGATTGGCAGAGCATTAGATCCTAATTGAATCTGATTCTCACACATTAGTGCAGATGGTGTTGGGTCTGGCAGAAGTTCCATGGAGACTGCAGATTGTTATGGAGAAGATTAGGTGTTTGTTTGGCACTTTGCAGGTGCAAATTAAACACATATACAGAGAAGCTAATGGGATTGCTGATTTTTTGGCATCCTTTGCTGTTCAGACTGGAAGATATGCTGACTTTTAAGTCAGTTGTGTTCTTCCACTTGCTGGGAGGCTTGTTTTGCAGAGGAATCATAGTTTGCTGCCTACAGCAAGATTGAAGAAGGTTGTTAATAGAGGTACATTACCTCTTTTTTGCTGCCTACTGCCAGATTGAATAGGGTTGTCAACAGAGGTAATTACCTCTTTAATGACTCAAGTTGGTGGTCAGTTGAACTCACGAGGAGGATTTTTAACTGTTTTGTCTGATGTGTTGTAACAGAATTTCTGTTATGAAACAGATACTTCTAACAGAATTCTGGGAGGTGCTTGGCTGTAACAGTTTTTTCTGTTTTTTTGTTAAAACAGTTTCTGTTTTTGATTCTGAAAAAAAAAAAAGAGGTACATTACCTCTTTAATGGCCTATTTCTGGGCAGGCAGTCTGAAGCCTTAGAAGTGATTCTAACTTCTAAGGAGTCTTGAAGGATTATAGCATCAGGAGGTTTTTTTGTAATTTTTTCATTGTTTGATTCTTGTGTACTGTTGCTTCTTATAATAATTGGTTTCAATCTATAAATTTTTTCTATTTTTTCAAATATATATATATATATATATATTTGCTAATTATTTTTTTACTAACACAAGAAACACATAAAATGACTTCATATATTTAAAGGGTAGAATTGTAAAATTGGGTATGCATGGTTTTCCTTTCCTTTCATTTTTCATTTATACCAAACAATGGAAAATATATCCCTTTTACTTTCCATCCCTCCTACCAAACAAAAAGGAGGGAAAATAACTTTCTTTCCTTCATGGATGGAAAGTGTATTCCTTTCACTTTTCCTTCCTTCCTTTCTTTCCATTCTTCATACCAAACGGACTATTACACTTGTCTCTCACTATCAAAATGCGATTATTGTCAGAACCCCAAATTAAGACCATAAACATGGGCATTCAAAAGCTTATAGGAAATGGGAATCAATCAAATCAGTTACATCTCCATGCGATGTCCAAAGAATAAGCAAATATTTGAAGGAGACAAAAACTCCTACCTTTTCTGTTTGTTGTAAAATATTGTCAGACCCCTTGTGATGCCAATTGTCTGCACTCTAACAACACCTTCTATATAAGTCATGAGTGACGGAATAACAGCAGCAAGAAGAGCTGTGGGATCATGAAGATAAACACCTATAAACAAATCCAAACTAGCATCAGCACATCAAATGAATATGGTCCTACTAACTTCTGGGGTTTGTTTCTACCAAACACACCTTTTATGCTGTATGCATCATGATGATAAGAAAAATAAACATCTAAGATATTGGACAGATACTGGGAGAATTTTCCATTTGACTCCACTAGCCTTTCTCGATCAGCACCTACAACATGGAAAAAAGTAAAGATCAGAGTGATGTGAGGAAAGAACATGACATCACTGGCATAACAAAAGTAGGCTTGTTATTTTTCTTGGTATTGGAAATTTGAAGAAAAATAGATTCGATATGCAGCCTAATTTTTTTGGGGGAAATTTAATGTAGCTTGACATTGATATAATTCTTCTGTAATTACACTCATATAAGCATTATGCAAAGAGTCAGCTATGGAATACCAATTCAATTGTAATTACTACAAAGAAACTTTTGATTAACCAAGTGCTCGCTCTAGTCGGTGTCACAAAGTTTTGCTGATAGTCATTCACCCTATTTTTTCAGTTTTCAGCTTTGGAAGTCTTTCTTGTCTCCTGATGCACCAGTGAGTCCAAAACAGTTAAAAGACTATTGGAACTCAAATAGGCTAATCAAATTCGACACCAAGAGTAAGTCCTGCTCAGCCAAGTATTTTCAACGGCAAAGCCACCAGTATGGTTTCAAATTCGAAATATTTAGTTGTGCTCCTGCTACAAGATGTAATAAATATCATGAGCATGGACAAACTGAAAGAAGCAAGAGTGAGTTTTTTTGTGAAAAAGGAAAATAATTAAAAAAAAAAAGAGGTTGCATTAGGAAAATAACAACAGACTGACTTTTTTCAAATAGTCAACGGAAATGAGCAACTGGATATACATTTTGATGTGGGGCAAGATTAACAACTCTCCTGCCCCCTATGATAGGCTGAAAGAAATCTTAGAAATGATATCCTTTCTTTGGTGTTTCCAATTCTTCTTTCTTTTTCTTTCTGGAAGCTACAGAGTGCCAGAGCAAAGTCTATACAGATGGCAAAGAGAAGTTAAGTCATTGGGATTGTCAAACAGGGCCCTGAACATGGCTATTCATCTAGAAAAAGGACTATTCCTGGAAATCGAAAAGAAGGAAGGCTAATCATAAATAATTCAACTTTGATTCAACAAGAGGACCGCCACATTATTTTATCATATATCGATAAGGAATGTAATATGATAGAATAAGACTCTAAAAACTTCTATAAACCAGAATGTTTTCTACAACTATAGCATTCTAATAAGAACTACAATTCATTTTTTCCTTTGCCTTTCTTACTGTAATTTAAAGTATGATATTATTGCAGTACGTATAATCACAATTTAAAAAATGAGCTTAGAATTGAAGTTTCTTAATGACATTTCTATTTTAACAAGAAAAACTTCATAAAAACTTGCAAGTTAGAGGATCAGTCCTGATAAGCTCCAGAGGTTTGCTTTAAATTCTGATTCTGCTCCCCAATCACAGGAGCTCATCTACTCAAAATCCACTTGCAACCCCAAAATCCATAGTGGAAGAAAAAAATGAACTATGGAAACTACTAACTCAAGCAGAGTAGATGAATCATCAGCTCAATAAACCAACAACCATATGAGTGCAACATATATAGATGTATAGCAGAGAAAGAAAGAAACAAAAAGAAAGACAATTAAAAATGTGATGGTTGCAAAAACAAAAATACACACCGATACACAAACAAGCACGCTGGCTCACACCCAGAGACCTATCTAATTTGGACCCTAATCCATGTAAGGTCAATCTCTGTGTTGAAAATTTTTACAACTTAAGCCCTTAACTTCTATTATTATAAGGAATATGAGCTACGTTGCTCGCTAAGGCCCGTCATTGATCAAACAGGTCACTGGAACTTTGAGTGAATCTTCCTATTCAAACAGGACTCTTGCAAAACAGTTACAACAGAATAGAAAAAGGCTCCCACTCGGTGTTGGAGGAAAGCATAATTGATATGGCTCTAGAAAGTAACTAACAAAAAAGACATTTTTTTGCTTACTGAAGAAAAAAACTAAGAGACAGAAAATCCCTATTGTCCAACTTAACAACTGGGACATAATTGACGCATTGATGAAGTGATGAGAAATATACAAGGGATCATTTACTTGTATTGTGGACAAGCGTTAAACAAAGGGAATGAAACAAGAATGAAGATAGTGAAGGGCTTACCAGTTAAAACAACTTGATGGGTAACATTTAATCCAACAGCCAAAACATCAGCTCCACTTGTGAACACAATATCAGCAGCATCTGGATCTCCAAAAATCTGCTTGTCCAACCCAGGGACAAAAGAGAATGACAACAATCCTTTCAACTAAGAATGGGGAATAGTGCGGACAGTGGACACTCATGTCTGTGGATCAGAATTGAGGTACTTACATTGGCCTCAGCCGCTGGATTCACATTCCCATTTACTGTAAAAGCACCACCAAGAACAACAATCTGCTCAATGTTTTTGGTGAAGGCAGGATCCAATTGAATAGCCTGCATCAACAGAAAAATCTAAGAAGTAATATTTATTTTTGTTCTTCAAGAGCCGTGCCAAAAGATCAAGAACCTGACCAGTGCAATATTTGTAAGGGGGCCCAGGGCCACCACAGTGACTTTTCCAGGGTAAAAGTTAGCCTGCTGAACAAGAAAATCAGCGGCTGACTGTTCAATTGGCTTTCCTTTTGGCGGAAGAAAGTCTTGATTTCCAAGTCCATCCGTGCCATGGACAAAATCAGCAATGCGAAGCTTTGTACCTTTCTTCACATGAAACAGAGATATAATTGCTTCATGGATCATGATGGAACACAAAGATCAGCAATGCGAAGCTTTGTACCTTTCTTCACATGTAACAAAGATATAATTGCTTTGTGGATCATGATGTAACATAAAGATCAGTCAGCTTCAGACAACCCCCCCCGGGCGGGGTGGGGGGACGCCCCAAACAACCCAAGGTCATTCTTTTCCCAAGTGAAAGGTCACAAACATGACATGCGTTCAAGATAATAATATCCATGTGCATGTCCACCACCCCAGTCCCATGGCAACAAGCTCCTACGTAATCATCTCATCTATTTGTTCACTTGCTAGCTTTTTTCTTTGACATTCTTTCAAGTTTGGGGAAGAGTTCCAGACAAGAGCGAATACCAACAAAAAAATTACATTTCATGGCAACATTTCTTGATTTAAGTGCACATGGTTTTCTCTTCTATATTATTTTATCTTATTCCACTATTGTTGCCATGGTTCATGGTCGCAGCATCGACTTAGAGGCCATTGAGTCATCTCGGTCACAGCCTCACTACAATGGTATTGGATGAGACACAAGATGCTCCATATTAGAAGTTGACCATGGCGAGAGATTCACAGACGGCTTTGGTCAACTCAAAGACGTTTTGGATAACTTGACCGAATCATATGAGGCCCGCGGTTTACACAAAATGTGCAATAGTATCGAACCACTCGGATACGGTTTGGCAGAGTCATATTACTTTGAACTATTGTTGTCGCCAAGTGTTTTTAGGTTTTTTTTTCGTAAGCAAAGTTGGGAAGATTGATTTCAAACCCATATAATGTGATGTTGCTTTGAAAGAGCAAACTAGCATGACAGAGAAAACTAGAATGAAAGAGATTTTTCCATGGCTACTTAACATGCCATGAGACTCTAGAGCTAATTTTGCTGATAAGATTTCTCTAATGCAACAACAATCATATCTTAGAAAAGACGTTAAAAAACTGCAACTTGAAGAGATGAAACTTATAGCAATTCGTGGGTGCTCTTCATGCCATTTCCTAGAAACTTACCCATTTTTTAAAAGACTATTACTTCATTAAATGGCAAAAATCAATTTTTTTTTACTATCAAACTAGTAATGATTGTTGACAGAGACCTGAAATCACTATACATTTTTTGATATGAGACCTGAAATCAGTATAATCTTTTTCTGTTCTGTGATCAACAGACCAGAAAAGAGTTTCCATACCAATGTCCTAAAAACATTGTAGCTGTTCATTCATCTAAATTCTGTTTGGTGAATATAAAATCATGAAAAACAAAATAAAACTTCAACTACAACAGAACAAAGGAAGGCTGTTTTGAAATTTTGTTCGTTTTTCATCATTTCTTCAACGAACCAAGAGTTTTTAACCAAGCTTCATAATTAGACTAGAATATGACAAATGACGAAGCACCTAAAAAATGATCAATGAATCATAATGTGAAGAATTTTGGATCTTTACTTTAGAAAACCTAGCAATCCAAACAAACATTGAAAAGGAAAAATAAAACACAAACACGATCAATTTTATCGACTATGAATTTTGCCAGAACTCCATCCTTTCTAGATTGTCTCCTCTTAAAATCAAGAAAATAAATGGCTTAATGGAAAGGGAACAAAATATTTGTAGAACTTAAGTCAAGAATTTGGGGAATTATGGCATACAACCAAATCAAAAGTCAACAGGGATAACATACGGTAATTGTGACATGAGATCCTTCGGCCACTGGAATATCAGTCCTCCCAGCAATCTCCAACTAAAAAGTAAAAAAAAATGAACAGCTAAAATTAGCAAATGAAATTTTATCAGCAAAATCTGGCCAGTCAAAACAATCTTATACCATCAAATATCCAGTGTAGGTGAATATTTACATTATACAGAATAACATGTGTTTGTGTCATGTTTAAATGTTTATGTATTACACAGCCGGTCCCATGTCCAAATAAAGGAGTAGGGTTATGTTAGATAGCAAAGTTAACGTAAAACTTTGCCAGATCTAGTATGAACATTGTTGACATAGCATAAACTTAGGGTTTGGTGAGAGGAAAACCGGAAGCTACAAAACATATCACAGCCTCTAGACCCCCATGTGGATATATAGATATATTGTGACACTGACACTAATAAAATGAATAGTAGGGGATAGGCTTATTACAAGGGTACCATTCCTATATATATTCTAACACTCCCTCTCAAGCTGACAAATATATACTATATAATCCGAGCTTGGAACAAGTTATTCTAAATTGGGTACTAACTAAGGACTTAGTAAACATATCAGCAAGTTGACCCTCAAATTTGGCAAATTGGTATGACGATATCCCCATGTAGCAGGTTTTCTCAAACAAAGGGTCAATCAACTTCAAAATGTTTTGTTTGTTTATGAAACATGAGATTAGAAGCTATGTCAGTAGTAGCTTGATTTTCACAAAACACCTGGAGTAAAGTATGAGCTGGAAAACCAATTTCTTGAAGAAAGTGTTATAACCATATTAACTCACTATATGTGGAAGTCATTGCCCAATACTCAGCTTCTACACAATATTGTGCTACCCCTGTCTCCTTACTTTTTCACGTGGTCGGATTACCTTCCAAAAAGGTAAAATGCCCTATACTGGATCGTCATTCCAAGGGAGAACCTGTCAAATTAGCATCTATAAAACCTTCTATTAGAAGGTTCCCATTCAACCGATACAACATTCGAAGTCCGTAGCTCACATGATATATTGAATAATATGTATGACAACATCCCAATGAGGTACTCAAAAAGCTTCCATACATTGACTTACCACACACACTACATATGAAATATCAGGTAGGGTAATAGTAAGGTAATTCAATTCCCCAACGAGGCGACGATACGGTCCAGGATCTGAGAAACATTTGCCCGCACTAAATGTTTATGATTAGATCCATTGGAACATCAATCAGCCATCTAAAAGCCTTATTTCCATCAAAAGATCAAGCACATATTTCCTTTGGGATAGACTAATACCTTGTTTAGATTTAGCAACATCAATACCAAGAAAATATCTGAGTTTGCCCAAATCTTTAGTGTGAAACTGATGCTGCAAAAACTGTTTTAACTTGATAATACCTTCAGAGTCATTACCAATAATCATGACATAAACTACAAGAAGGATATTACTTACCCTAGTTCGTAAATGAATACTGAATGATCTGTTTGGCATTTACAAAGATTAAAATCTAACAATGCCTCTAAAAACTTTCTAAACCATGCCCACAGGGACTGTTTTAACCCATACAAGGCTTTCTTCAATCAACATGCACTACCATTATACTCCCTCTTAGCAACAAATCCACAAGGTTGCTTCACATAAGCCACTTCAACTAAGTTACCATGTAAAAAAACATTCTTGACATCTAACTGGAACGAAGTGTCAATTAAGATTAGTAACAAGTGATATCAAAACCCTAACAAATGAGATTTTAGCAAAGAGAGAGAAAGTCTCCGTATAATCAACATCGTATGTTTGGGTATATCCTTTCGCAAACAAACGAACTTTGTGACAGTCCACAAAACCATTGGGATGAAATTTATTTTTACATACCCAACAACACTCAACTACCTGTTTACTAGAAGGTAATGGACCAAGTATGATTTTGATGTAATAGATTTTCTCCAACTCAAATTAGATAAGACATCTGCTAATGTCTTAGGAACAGATATGGTGAATAATTAAGAGGTAAAACATGCAAATGAAGGAGATAACGAATGAGAAGTAATAAAGTAATAGAACAATCACTAACATATAATCTAAGAAGGTCGGATCTGAAGATGAAGAGGAAGTCAATGGTAGAGCTAGAGCAAATGGCCAACGACAAGAGTAAACACGAAATGGGGTGGCAAAGAACATAGGAGCATGAGCAAGAGAAGGGTTAGAAGATAGTGACTTCAACATTGGGATGACTGAGGAAGAGAGGCTAAGGGAATTGGAGCCGAAAGTGGCGGGGGCTAGACGAGGATGACGACTCTAAAGGAATATATGGAGCTGAAAAATAGAGTGTAGACTCTCAGAATGTAACAACAACAATAATGATTTACTAACGAAGATCAGGACTATAACAACGACAACCTTTATGAGTACAGGAGTAGTCAAGGAAGATGCACCTAGTAGTACACGAATCAAGCTCATTAGACTCGGGACTGAGATTGTGGACTTAAGAGACAACTCCAAACACCTAAGGAAGGAGAGAAAATAATGGAGAGTTAAGAAATAAAACAAAGTAGGGAGATGCCCTATGTAAGACAATAGAGGACATCCGATTAATAAGATAACATACACTCAAGACAATATCACCCCAAAAATTGTGGAGGAACATGCATATGTAATAATAGTGCTCAAGTCACATTCAATAAATGGTGATTCTTCCTTTCAGCCACATCATTTTGTTTTGGACTATGAACACAGGAAGTTTGATGGACAATGCCTTTTTGATTAAAATAAGCTTGAAAAGGATTGGACGTATATTCTTTGGTGTTGTTAGACCGTAAACATGAATGTTGAAGCCAAATTGGGTCTTAATCTGCTTATGAAATAGTAGAAAGAAAGAAAATAATTCCGAATGAATCTCATTAAAAATAACCATGGTATACGAGAATTATCATCCCCAAATGTCATAACATAACAAAATCCATTAATAAAAGAATATTTGGGAATGGTGGAGGACTCAAACTTTTCTCCTTGAAAATTTCTAAATCAATTTTAACCATGGGAGTAGGAGTTTTTTTCAACTAGATATTGAGTCTTTTTAAGTGGTGAAGAATTCCTAGGTTTGGGCTCACTAGACCTACCCATAAACTTTATAAGGTTTAACATTTGGTAAGTCTTGGAATGGTTTGCTAGGTGAATGAGTTTCTTGTTCATGTCTTTCCTATTGTACATGCATTGTGTACTATAGTGTGTGTGTTCTCCACAAGTAAAATAAACAAATTGTTTGACATAGGCTTCCTCAATAACCGACTTCATTAAGTTCTTACCCTTGTTACCAATTTTAATCTTAGGGAAACTATTGTTCACTCATGGAGGTGATAGGTTTGAATTACCCATCACAAACAAGGTCTTAGAAGGCGTGGTAGTGGTGTAATCATTTGTGTACCCTAGACCTCTTTTGTTAGCAACACACTTCCCTATAGACATCTTATTAAGTGGTTAACCATCAAAAGGGACACTTAATCATAAGCTAGAATGGTTAATTGCATGGATTATGTAAACAAATGGATAAGGATTATGATGATTTCACATTTAGAGTAAAGTCATGATACTAGGTCAAACTCAGTGAATTAGCACATGTGGAGACATTGGCAAGTTGGTGGAAATGGCTAAGAAGGCAGAATCCTGACAAACATTTTTGGGTGGCTTTGGTCAGTTTTGACTCCGTTCAAATGTCAATTACCATTCGAACGAGCTCCATTCACATAAGTTTTGAAGACCGGTAGGACGGGAAGCTAAAATGGGCAGGACAAGAATTTTCTACTTTGACTTGTAAGACTTACCCAAGATCTCTCCCCCTCTGCTATAAACACCCCCCCCCCCCCCCCGCGGGAGGGCCAAAGGCCTGGACATCACACTAATCCCAGAATACCCCTCTCCCTCTTACCTTATTGTTTTTCTTTTATTTCTTAGGTAGTATACTCTTTCTTTGAAGAGACTTCTCTCCACTTTTCTCTCATTCTTCTTGCCCTTCCATAGCAATGAAGAGTGAATAATTTTATTATACTTTTTAGCTAAGGTTGTTGGATTTGTTAATATTTATTCGGATACTATACTTATGCAACTTTTATTTGTTTTGATGCTTTATCTTTATTACTCATGAATGATTGAATGTTTTTTGTAAAACTTAATACTTTGCATCAATTGTTTGATTGCTTATCAACAAGTTAAGTCTTGGTATAAGTAATACTTATTATTCCCTCCAAGTATTTAAGCTAGATCTTTAATTTTCTTTATTTTCAATTTTCAGAATATATTGGTCTTCATACAAATGATTGAATAATTTACCAAAGCTTTGATACTTTGTATAAGTTGTTTGATTGTTTAGCAACAAGTCAAGTCTTAGTATAAGCAATACTTATGATTGCAAGTTTTTAAGATCGACCTTCAAATCTTCAGTTTCAATCTCTATCTTTCATTAATATTCCGCTGATCCAAGGATTAACTGAGTTATATAGAGTTGCACTTGATCCTAAAACAAAAGAGTAACTTTCTATATATTGTTACTTATATTTTGTCCAAAAAATATTCACCACACCATTTCATCATTTTAAAGAGTAAACTTGTTCCTTCTTCACCTAATTATCGAAATACCGTTTTCCAGTGCATCGACATCGGACTTTATCAAATTTAATACTACAGCTTAATCACCTGCACTTGAGTGTACCTTCAGGATATCAAGTAACTTTTTGGAGCCATTGCCGAGGTACTATGGTGTTAATTGTATAAAAGTGTCGAACGAGTAATCCACCTTAACCATACGATTTACTTCAAGACGTAATCTCTGGGTAAACTTGTTACACTCTTTGTGAATATTACTTTTTATATTCTATTTTGTTGTATATATTCCTATTTATGTTTTTAGATTATTTTTTAATTGAGCAAAGTCATATTTACATGTGTTGGTGAGCATTCATATAGTTCCTCTAGATAAGAACTTGTATTAGAAGAGTCTGTAAGGTCTGTAAATCTATCAAGTCCATCCACTCGATGTATCATATTTCCTATATTTGAACTTAGTGGATTTAAAAACCAAATGTATGATCAAGAAGAAGAAGTTAATGGCCAGCAGGGAAGAACACTTAAGAGATTACTTGCATCTAGTTCA